TTTTCAATTATCTCTTTATGTCCTTTACTATATTTTATGTACTTATCTATTCCTCTGATTTTTTTCTCCAAAACAAATGACAACAGTTATGTATTTTATCTTTAATGAAATTACTTTTCTCTTACTTTTTATTGTATTCTTCTGAAACATACAAGTTTAATATTATTTTTAGCCATCTTGGTTGTGTAATAAGTTTCATTATTTGTAATTTCGTGTATCTTCTCCCATCCAGAGATCAGATAAATATTTCTCTGCATTTGCTAATACTTCTTAAGGTTTTGCATTGTTTGATTTTATGTGTCAACACGATTGAGGTTTAGAGTACCCAGGTGTTTGGTTAAATATTATTATTATTATTATTATTATTATTATCATTATCATTATTTTGTTTCTGTGGGAGCTCTTCTGAATGAAATTAGCATTTGAATTGGTCCACTGAAAGAAACACAGTGCCTTTTCCAAAGTGGGTGGGCCTCACATGCTCTGTTGAGGGGCTGAATAAGGACAAAAGGACTAAGTAAGGAAAAAAATCACTCTTTACCTTTTCTTTTCTTTTCTTTTTCTTGTATCTTTGAGTTAGAACATCAATTGTCTATTGCCCTCAGACTCAGACTCAGACTGTCACTATATCATCAGGTCACCCCATCTCCAACTTTGGAATGCTCATCTTGGGATTTCTCAGCCTCCAGAATCATGTGAGTTGGTTCCTCATAATAATTTATTTGTTGGTTAATAAATTATACAGAGGATAGAATATAGGTCTTGGATTGGTTTTGTTTCTCTGGAGAAGCCTGATGCTTTTTTCCTTTAGACACATTAACTTCCTACATATCTGGATTTTAAGTTGATGAATGGTCTGAAAGTAGATTCAAAAATTATTGTTTTTCAAACAAAGTTTGCTTCAGGGATATGTTTGGAATGATCCCTTTTGCTCACAGACTTATGTTTTTCACTTTACCATAGTTGAGATTACAATGATTTGGTTTGGATTTATTTTTTGTCATCCATTGATATGTTTCTCAATAATTCTACAAGTGTCATTTTTGTCTGATTGTAATTTGGTGAATTTTCAAGTCAGGTCAAACACATCTCTTATATTACACCTTATTTCCTTATGTGTTATGTGTTTMTGTCATCATCGAATTTACTTCTCCCAGATAAACTTTATAAAATGTTTTCAGATTCCAAAAATGGATGAATCATTTGATAATGACTGGACTTTCACTACATTTACTCATTATTTTATAACAAAATAAAAAGTTCAGAATCTAGGATCAAACTTAAGGAAACGTGCATGTTTCTTGTTTTATTTGATCTTCTTTTATGTCTTCCCCAAATTTTTCATTTTTTTTCTCTCATATGTGCCTTGTCCTTAGTTACAGAAGGTGGGAAACAGAAAATAGTGCTTTCTATTGATTTTTCTTTATAGTTTCAAAACTTTTAAATTTTTGTATATGTTCTATTACCTTGGACACATATTTTATCATGAATTACAACTTTAATCTACAAAAATGTATTTTTTTATTTTTTAGTGTTTTTCCATCTAAACATAATTGAACTGAGGTCATATTCTATTCCCATTTTACATTTGCCTGATTTTTGTACTTCTTTAAAAAAATTATTTTGACTTAGTTTTCTATTATTTTTCATGTCACTGGATGTTACTTTGAAGCATACCCTGAAGATACTTGTCTGTTAACAGGAAAATTTAAAACATGTATTTTTATAATAATGGTGGGTGGCATTCTGTCATCTTATTTTGTGTTTTTTCCCCCTGCTTTATGGGTCTTTTWAAATGTACATTCACTTTTCAAAAAATAACAACAACAAAAAAACTATTTTTGTGTACTTTTTTTTAAAAAAGAAATACCACTCATTTATATTTAATTACTAAATTCAAGAATAAAATGGTATTCTTTGATAACTTTCATAGCAAAACAGAAATGCCTGCCCATTTTATAATTTTGTCAATGATACATACTTTTATCCATGAATTATTAAAATATTTTATAATATCTTATTTTTAACTGTTATTTTTACATTTCTAGTTAATTTTGAAATGTGTTTTCAATAATTATTCATATTTAGCTATAGGTTTAAGTGGTTTCAATACTTATTAACAATTCTGAATTTTCTATTGGTCTCTAAGTATACTAAAATGTACATCTATGTCATACAAAGTATCTTTCCCCCTTTCCCACTCAAAAAAAAAAAAAGAAAAAAAAAAAAGAAAAAAAGCCTGGGACTCATCCACAAACAATATTCTTTTTCCTTTCATGTCTATATCCATCTGCAAATTCCATCTTGATCTGCAGAGTTTGAGCTCTTATTGTTTCCATAGCTATTACCCTAGTTCAGCCCCATCCATATATCATTCATTGCAATTACTGCAATAGGATCTCACAGGTTTCTATCTGGTCTCCACCTATAATGAACTGTGATTCCCCAGCTCAGTTGCTGCTACTGGCTCCCCATTTCTCTCTAGCAAAACCCAAGGATAGTTCTTATTATTATTTGGACGTTTTCTCTGCCTTCTACTATCCCAACCTCCTCCTTTTATACTTTYCTCTTTGTTCCAGCCACACTGGCCTCTCACTGAATCATCTTGCAAGAGGGTAGTCAAGTTTACTGTCATCTGTGGTCATCACCCCACTGTTGTAAGCTCTTCCCTCTGAGAACTGACTCTTTTGCATCTTTCTGGTTTCCACCCAAACATCCTCTTATTTAAGAAGCCTCTCTGGTTTACTCTACATGAAGCTGTACTCTCTACTTCCTTCCCACTCCATCAAGTGAATGGTAAGTAGAGCAATAGAACATAAAACTATGTTCCTAAATAAATGGAAACTCACATAGCTTAAGGAAACAAGGTAAATTCTAAACAAAGAGCTACATGGTAATTATGGAAACTTAGCCTTAAATAAAGACTATGTGAACAACAGACGGGAACTATAAAGAAAATTTCCATTTTCTGAATTATGGGGATAAGATTGCACTGAACAACACCATACTAGGGACTCTCAGGACYGTGGCCAATGAAGAGACAGGAGGGAATGAGTGGGCATTGTGTATGGTTCCGTTTTTCTCTGTGACTTGTCATGTTCATGGCTTAGTATATATTGTGCTACTCTTATTAAAGAAGATACAAAACCTTTGCTTCCTGGGAAAACTTGATTAACCAAAGAATCTTCTTGGTTTCACCGGCCTCTTTCTCTTCCTGCTCATGTCATATGATGAGCTCATCATATCACAAACATGTAGACAGCAGAATGAACCCTCTTTTGGGGAAGAATGTTGGTCAATTTCCTTGATAGGGCAAATATTCACAGWAATTTTTGTATTCCTTTCTTCTAGGAAACTGAAGAGGTTAGAAAATTGTGTCCACCATTTATTGTTCCTAAGACACAGTAAGAGCTATTGTACCCTTCTTAAGATGGCAAACTCCACAAAGAGCAAGAGCTAGAAACCAATTTTGACAATGATGAAATCTCTCCTCCAAATATTATCCTTGACAGTTGAAATGCTAAAGAAACTGTTCCTTGCAYATTCCCAAAATGAGGAGTTTGAATTAGAACTCAACTATGTTCCAGCTAATCATCTATACCAGCCACTCAAGACACCACAAAATCTCTCTCCTGCTAAGCAGGTACCTAGTTAAGCTCTCAGGACCAAGATGTGTTTTGAATGCAACTTCTTTTGCTGCCAACATAATCTGTTACGACTAGTGATAAAAGAAATCTCACCAGCAGAGGGCTGAAAAATAATATGGCAACAAAAGAAAGTCATGTGACATTACCTTGGACAGAGAACAAAGGGGATGGCAGAAAATCTTTTTGGCTTGTTCTATCTCTTCATATTCTGAATCCTGAGAATTGTTACTGTAYCAAATCAACCTAAGCCTYTTAAGAATGAAACACTCTTTCGACTGAGTTAAGATCCCCAAATGACTTCTTTATAGCACAAGTTCTTGTTTGAAGTATATGAATCTTCTTTTCTCAAATAGCATGTATAATAAACAAGAGTTGGAGCACTTTGAGTGTGTGTGTGCTCTCCATGTCACTTACTACAGGGATTTGTGCAGTACTAATGTAAGCATTAAATTACCATGATGGAGATTGCTGGTGCATAGTTCAAATTAGGCCTCTGAACTGCACAAATAAAATCTGTTTAAATGGGACAAAGACTAGTTCCCACAATATGAGAACTTGCTGTTTTTTTTTTTTTTCCTACTTTTCAATACTGTAGCCTAGTAGGTTCTAAAGGAGTTATCGGAGATTAGCATGACTCTCTCCTACCCCATCCCCCTTTTTGCACTAATTTATACCAGACTCCAGAGTATAATCCCTTCAACTGCTGGTGGRCACTCTGCATAATTGTGGGGTAACTTAGAAACTGTCATCTGAAGCTGAAGGGGGCATGTTATTATTCTACATGAGAAAACTTACTTAAAAAAATGAAAATATGAAGTTGGGACTGTCTACAGTTAACCACATCATCTGCCTTATAGTCAGTAAACTGCATTAGTAAATAGCAAGGTAAGAAAGTAAAGAGCAAACTCTTTCTCCAGAGCAACACAGTTACTTTGGAAGCAGTCCAAACTTCTAAAAAGCCATTGATATACTGAAACTATAAGGATTTACAAAAGGSTACACAGAAAGACCTGGATTTTCCAACATCTCCAAAACACCTCAGGTATTCCTGATAAGCAAACAAAACTTTGCAGAGCTTGGCCCATSGTGCATGTCCAAGTGCAATTTATGATTTATTATTTTCTACTCACTAGTTKAAATACTTTCCCATAGTTTCATATATGTGATATAACTGAGGAAGAGATCAAAATCCCAAATGGGTCCAGAACCCCAACCTTTTCCGATTTAATTTCTGATATACATCAGAGGTTGGCCATCTCATCCCACAGAACAAAYCTGGCCCACCACTTGTTTTTGTAAATAAATTTTTATTAGGACAYAGCCATGCCCATTCATTTACATATTATTTATGGCTGCTTTCATGCCTACAATAGCACTGCTTTGTAACAGAGATGGTACAGCTCATAAAGCCATAAATATTTACTATCCGGCATTTTACAGAGGTTTGCCAACCACTGGTGTATATTATTAGAAACATGAGTAGCAAATTTATCTATCACTAAAGATACAATAAATTCCTTTATTATCAGCACTACCATAAACCAAAGATACATAAAATATATCATTAGAACTCAATCTTATTTCCAAAGAATTTAAGAAAAAAATTGTCTTCAGAGTCAATGTTTGCCTCAGATCTCCTGCCATGTCAGAAAACAGTCATTTTTCCACTTCAGAAAATAAACACACATATCCAAAAGTGTTCTTTTATTATTTCTAGTAACATATATTGTATAAATACTCTATTTTTATATGCACTTTTACAAAAGCGATATAACTTAAAAGTTTTATCATTAGAAATAAATGTATAAAAATAAATATGTTATTATAGGCATTTATTACAAACTGTAGCCCTTCTTAGAAGGAACACACAAACCAATACTTATAAAGTACATATATAATTTATAGTAACACACTTTACTATATACATATGGAAAAAGTCATATTATCTCTCTGTAGAAGAGCTGAACAGACATTCACCAGGATACGACTGTTGGACCAGCTGCCGGGATGGACCCGCTATCCCTCAGCAGCCTCCTCACCATGAGACAAGTGATCTCAATGTCCCTAAGCCCAGGGGACACTGTTCTATGTGCTCCATTCTTGCTCTGGCATTACATCCTTCTGTGTGGTTTCACTGACTTCTTAAGACACAATTCACTTTTCCACATCCACATTCCCACAGTYGGCTTACATAAGGAGGAAGGTAGAYCAGAAGTACCAAACTCATCTTGTCACCTTGAGTTTTTATCAGCACCTCGTACTCTGCTGCTTTTCTTGGCCTTGTAGACTTGATGCACTCTTAGAAATACATGCATTTACGTGAACGACACAGATAAAGACTGAGATGGTACAAGGCATTAGAGAAGGAGCTATGAGCCTTTCTCTCGTGTTGGACAATCTGAACWCGTCACTCATGATGGAAAAGATGCATAAACATTCTCTGATACCATAGCGGCCATAAGGAGTGCTGATCAAATACCCTCTTTGTACTCCTTTCTTCCCCTTTTGTTAGTGAGGTAAAGTAAGCCATGTCTTAAACAAAATTTCATCTTTCTTCTGCTTTTCATTCCCAACTTGCATGGTACAAAGAATTTAATCAGTACCAGGAAGCAGGGCTTGCAATATAAAAATATTGGCTTATTTTGACAATTGTTTTTGTGATAGATGTAACAAAAGAAATAATAATAATAATGCCCTGGGGCTTTTCATGCTATATCATTGCTCACAGGTTAATAAKCCTCATTAACTAGCCTATCAGATTTGTAACTGGCAGGATATTCTCACGATCTAACTCCTATTTACCTCCACAYTCCCATGATTGACACACCTCACTGGCTACTGGCAAGATACACTGAATCCCTCCAGCATTCTTATTCAGTGCGTCAGACCTTCCACACTGCCTTTTCCTCAAAACTGACCCTGCTTAACTGCATTCTGCTATCGTGCAAAAATCTATGTAATGCTTAGGTTTCTTTGAAGGATCGCAATTCTCATGAGACAACACTCCCCCATCATGGGACAGGCACTTCAAGGTTCTCTTTTTGTAACCCTTCCCACAAGTCTTGGAACATGGTGACCATTCTCCCAGCTGCCAGTGTGGGCAAGRCAGGTCTGCACAAGGTCGGGTGCTTTCTGGTTTCACCTCCTTCGCACACTCAGATGCAGGCTGCCCGTTAATGTCCCGACATTCCACCAGTCTTCTCTGCAAACCCAATCCACATGACTTAGAGCATTCACCCCACTCTCCAATGACCCATTCTGAAAAAGTAGGGATAGCATTGAAAGATTCCTTCTTCTTCTTCACGAAGTAGGTGTATTTAATTTTGGGTCGGAGAGCATTGCCCACAGTAAGAACCTGGATGGTTAAGGGCTCTTTGAGTGGGCTAAAGCTGCGGATTCTTTCCAGCGCTGCGGAGGAGCCACTATACCATAAGACCATACCTTTGTACGTAATATCTTGCTCTAAAGTGGACAAAGTGAAGTCACCATTCAGAATATACGTGCCATCAGCAACTTTGATGGCAAGAAAACTGCCATTGTTTCTGGATCCCCTCTGATTCCGGTGTTTCACATCAATGTTTGTGGCTCCACTTGGAATTGTGACAACATCATGATACCCAGGTCTGCAGGCAAGAAAAACAGAGGTGAGTCTCTCATTCATCGACTAATTGATTGGAATCATTTCTACTGAGGATTGAACTCAGGTGCACTTGGCTGCTGAGCCACATTCCCAACCCTATTTTGTATTTTATTCAGAGACAASTTTCACTGAGTTACTTAGCCCCTTGCCATTGTTGAAGCTGGCTTTGAGCTTGAGATCCTCCTGCCTCAGCCTCCCAAGCTGCTGGGATTACATACATGCACTACTGTGCMCAGCCCTGATTGGAATAATTTCCAATCTAATTGGAATCTAATCTAATCTAATCTAATAATTTCTAATCAAATTTCCCCATTGCCATGAAACAGTACATTTAAATTATGAGGTACTTGAGAGATGTATTTTAAAACTTACTTTGCACTAGCAATGGATCCTGATATTTTCTTGCATGTAGATCCATTTCCTCCACAAATACCACATTTGTCGAACTTCTTTTTGGAGTCTATGATGTGATCACAACCAGCTTTTACACACTGTCCTTGCACACAGACAGAAGTGGAATCTGGACTACATGGAGTACCATCTACAACCTGAAACAAGGAGGTCATATGTCCAGTGTTACTCATCAGAAGAGAAGGAACCTGTGCTATGGTAACTATGAACATTTTTCTTGAGTACACTTATTAAAGTAATATTTTTCATACATGTCATGCACTTTCCTTTTCTTTGGCTTTTTTTCAGTGGGTTGTTATAAGCATCTGAGGAAATCATAGATTTTCTGATTATCTGTTTATTGGCCTATCTTCCCTACAGCTAAGATCAATGAAGCTCTGTGCAGGTCAATTTCTTTACTCCTGTATTCTTAGTGTCTAAAGTAATATCTGACAATAGACAGTGCTTCATAAGTGGTTCACTGAATGTTGAATCTGCTACTTGGGAATATTTTCATGGTTTACAATACTAMTGACAATCTCAACAGAATTAAATTCTATTTTTTAGTTTTGAACCAGATTTAACCCCGTGGCCAAACCACAAGAGAAAGGATGCTTCTTGTTCAGTATATGTGCTCAAACATACAAATTATCAATGCTCAGACTTCTATTTTAATGTTTCCATATGTTACTGCTAGTTACTCAGTGAYGAGTTCTTTGGATCATGCCTAAAACTATTGTCCAAAACTACTAGTTGTTGTGTTAATATATAATATATTTAACCACAGTTATAGGTGAAACCTAGTTATACAAAGAAGCTCTTGATTTTCAAAGGGTTTTCCTGGTACAGAAAAGGACTAATGCTAAGCAATTGCCAGAATCTCAAGTGCAGAATTTAAGTTTCATTCATAACTGGAAGCAATAATAAACTCAAAGCAGGCAGTTGCTAATGCATTTGGAAGAAAAGAAGTCTGAATTTAGACTTCTTTTAAAGTAAAGAAAGCAAGTCAAAGGATGCATGAAAAAAAAAAAAAAAAGTAACAAGCCAAGACCTTGGCTCTTGGATGGGGGAAACAATAATGTAAAAGTATCTACCTTGGGCTGTAAAACAAAGAAGTAGCCGATCCCTTTGGCTTGACAAATGAGCTTGCACCTGTCCTTTGGTGAGACACCAGCATACTTGGGGGTCCACTCCACCACAGGCCCGCTCCCAAAGGCTTTTGAAAACTCATTGTGTGCCTCACACTGTTCCTCCCTAAAGGTTTTTCCTGGAAAAAGAATGACATGATGACATTATCAGTTTCTGGTCTTGAACTGCCCTTTGTGTACTCATCTTATTTACCCCATTTCTGAAAGTGTAAGCTCACTGCTGCTCACCATTGTTGTCTGGACAGTCCTCCACGTTACAGGACCTGTAGCGCACTCGTTTGCCTTCACAGTACTTCCCTCCATTCTTTGGGACTGGGTTGTCACATTCCCTTATTGTATACTGAACTCCTCCACCGCAGGTTCTCGAACAATCTCCCCAGGATCCCCAGGATCCCCAGCTTCCATGAACAGGGGCCTAAAGGGCAACACAAATCGGTGTCAGAATTCTCCAAAGAGACCATTTTAGGGAATAAAAGAAAAAATATGAGAAAAAGACTGAATTCCAAAAATAAGCTATCTTGCATTCCCACTGGAGGAATTCCCACAGATTAGGGTATTTATCTTGGCAAGAAATCTTTTAACATCACTTTGCTTTTTCACTTCTGAATTTTAAAGGGATGTAAATAAGTTCTGGGGGAAAAACTCACATCAAAATGCTTCTTGTCRGTCTTGTTCACACACTTGCTGTTGATACACCATTTCCCTTCCCCACAGCTGGTGCCATCTGCCCAGGGGAAGTGCTTGGTTTGGCACATCAGCACACCAGAGGGCGAGTTGACATTGCACCACAAGGTGGCACACGTGCTGGCTGGGTCTGGGCAGTGTTTGGACTCCTCCCCAAACATAAACTGGCACTGCCGGTTTACATCATACAAGGTGCCAGGGAGATCAGATGGTAGCCGTATGGGATTCTGGGGCTTGTCCATCAAACATTCCCCTACAGAAAAAACAACAAACAAAAAAAACAAAAACACATTATTAATGAGTAGTTAAAGAAATAATGCAAAGTGTAGATCATGGTTTCTCAAAATATTCATCATATGAATTAATACATAGCAAAGTAATCTAATATGCAGAGCTTTGGGGGAAAATGCCAGAGAGATTTATATTATCACTAAGATATTATGCTTAATAGGGGATTTCTGGATTATCAATGACAGGAAGTTATTATTCTGTTAAAATATGAATGAATGRACTCTAGGAGCTACTTAGCCAGAAACAGTATCTTTTATCAGGAATTAAGATCTGAATATCTATGAGCTTGACAGTAAAGTGTAATTTTGAAAATACAAAAAAAAAAAAAAATTAAAAAGAGCTTGGTTAATTAGAACTCTATATATGAAAGTTGCGATCTTTTCTAAAGAGAGCAGCTAAAGTATCTTACCATGACCATTATCCAGAAATGATGTGATCATGTAGGCACTGCAGGGAGACCAAGGATGGCTGTGATCCAAATTGGAGAGCATTGAGGCCATCATGTGGGAACCCTGGTTCCCAGCGTTAAGGCTGGCACACTGCTTCGAATCATCATGAAGCATGTTCAACACATGGCCTAGGAAGCAATCCAAAATCCAAATTGAAATACAGATCACTTGCAACAATMCTTTTTTTTCTCCCGACAGGGATTCATCTGTCTCCAAGTCACATTTCTACAGGAAGAAGTCTATTTAGGAGACAATCTATTTTAGAGACAATGTCTATTTTTTTASCTGGTGTACAGAAATGTCAAGTTCCATATATCCATAGTTCATACTATTTTAGGTTTTAKTCTAATTAAACATGGTCATATTTCAAAGATCAGAAACTATAATTTCTAAGACACACTGGTACRTAAAATAGAAATATAATCTGCAGACTCTCCTCTCAAATCAATATATTGTTTCATCAGTTTGAATTCTTTCATTGGGCTTTCATTTATACTCTGAAACAGACTTACCTAATTCATGGGCTGTGGTGAAAGCAGCTTGTAAACCATCATCTTCTATGACCGAGCAGCTTCTGCTGGGATCACACACAGTTCCAACATCAGCTATTCCAAGAGTATCACATGTCTGAGTCCCACATAAGTCCTATAAGGAGTAAAGATCAGTTTTTATTAATATGAACAATAGGAACCTTTGCATTTTAGTTTCTAGCAAGGTGTGTCTTTATCTACATTTGGGARCATTTACRTTCATTATTGTTTARCTAAARACTTTATGTGACTCTAATCAAAACCTGTCCTAATGTTTTTAAAAACTGAATAATGTAAAACTTGAGACATTAAGATTACAGCTGAAAATAAGCAAGATGGACCATGCTAACCAATTTTAAAAAATTAAGTGAAAAAAATRTTATTGAAATATTTTTATTCAGTTGGTATTATGCTGATTCCTAAGTGGACAATATGATCATCGACATATCTCCTTCTCACCTCTCTGGTAAAAAGAATCGCTGTGTCATARTGTTCTGCATCCCGGTCACTGGGAGGATTGTGTTGTTTTTGCCAGTTGCAGAAGTTCCGCAAAGTGAGTGCAGCATTGGAGGTCACTTCTGGCCCCTTCTGCTCYTCATAGATAACTAAAATCTTCACCACCACGAGGCTGATGGAATTTCGAATGCTAGGGTATTTGTACAACCTGGCTGCCACGGAGAACAAGGTGAGAAGGTAATGCTTTAGGTCACTGCCGTGGAACTCTGCCATTGACTGGTCGGCCACAAGCATGGTTTCCACATAGCGGGGGCTGGACACAAATCGCTTCTTTCTTATGCTTCCAGTTCCTGTAAAGAAACAGGGACAGTTTGCTTGTGGGCAGTCTCTCCAAGAATAGTTACCTTCCTCGAGTATATAAAGAAAGCCTAACTAGTCAAAGCAAATAAAACCCAAATATACTTAGAAAACAATAACAAAAATATTTGCACGTTTTTATTGAAAATATTATTTTTAAAGTTTTTTTTTTTTTCTCTCTTCTGCTTTAAATAAAAAGACCGTGTACTCCTTGGAGTGATCTGGCTGTTTTCATGTGTAAGAGAGCATGGTTTCTTTTGTTCCTTTGAAGTCACATCACCCTACTCAGCTGTAGTAAAAACTTGGAGCAAGGGCAGCAGGCAGAGCGCCCTGAGTCACTCTTTCACTCTTGAGGCCAGGACTCAAATCCTGAATGAGATCATCGGGCTCCACGTGGAAAGCCTAGGGCAGGGCTGGGGCTGCTGCCAAGGGGCTGGGCCTAAGGAATCTCAGCCTGCATGGCTCAGCTTTCTCATTCCAGGGGTCCCTTGGGTGTTATGSGTTTGCCAATTCCGGCACAAGGACCACCCACTCTGCCCAGCAGCCTGATGCCCCATTCTCATTGCCCCAGAGAAATAAGTTTCTGCCTCAAACCACCGTTCATCATTTGGAAAAGAGCCCTCGGACTACGGACTGAGAGCCATCTCGCCGGCAGGTCCTAAACTGGGCTGTGACCGCGTTAACTCCTCCCAGGAACATAAGAGCAAACGCAAAAGGGAAATTCAAAATCAAGACACGTGGAAAAACTTAAGGAATAAAGACATCGGAGTGATAAAGTGGAAAAAACTGGATAATAAGCACTGCACASAGAGACTCAGGAGAAGACTGGAGGCGTAGCAGGAAAGCTCGGCGGCCACTAACACTCAACAGTGCTAGAGTAGGATGATGGCCGCGAGAGGGAGCGCAAATCGGGAGGCGAGTGGGAGGCGCTGGGAGGCGGGGCAAGCTGCGCAAAGACCTCCCAAGCAGGTTCTGCCGAGCGGCCCCGCAGCCGCCAGCCGTCCAGGGTCAGACTTTAAAGAGGGGGAAGGGAACAGAAGCCCACAGAATAGATAACGCAGTAGCGCAGTCGCCTAGGCTCATAAGCACTGAGATCACTGTCGCTCTTCTGCCCTCTCGGTCTCCGCCCTCTTCTGAGCGCCGACCGAGAGCATGCAAAAACAGCAGTTACAAAACAGCGCGAAGCTGCAACCCAGTCAAAGAGCACACACAGAATCGTTAAAAAGAAATTAAAGGTAAGAAGTCACAAATGCACACTKAACCAAGGTGTAGAAGTCAGGTTAAACGCTCCCTTCTCAATTGAAACGTTTTGCCTAAGTCTGYCGAAAATCGATTTGTCTGTTCTTTYTTCGTTGTTCATTATTCGGTAGAATTAAATGGAATTAAATGTTCTAAACGTAGGATTTTATTAACTCAGTCTTAGGCTCACCAACATTAACCTCAAAAATCATTCCAGGTCTCCGTCTTGTCGGCAGACACATTCTCCTGACTGCAAGTAGAAGTCTACCAAGTCACGTTGCCTAGAGAAAATGGGGAGAGGGGAATGAATGGAGAACCAAGTAGGGAAAACTTTTCTACCTGTTGGCTGTCCCACGTGTTGCGGCTCCGGGTCCCGCTGAGGCCACTGCGTTCCAAGGTCTTCTCCCTCATGTTCTGCACCCCTCGCGGGCAGGGTCTCATCGTCCATGACTCCACACTTGGCGCCACCACCGCCCCTCCGCCTCCGCCGCAGGAGATGGAACTGAGGCCGCTTGATCGGCTCCTCCTCGGSGGCGGCGGGGGCGAGGCGCTCAGTGGCAGCTGCGGGTGCCGGCTGGATGAAGAACTCCTCGCCTTGCAGGTAGAAGGCGCCACGCACGCCCTCGCAGAGGCTGAGGGCTGCGGCCGAGCTGGGGTCACCATTAACGGTGCCAGAGTAGAAGCAGTGTGCTAGGTCGCCGGCGGGGTCCAGACGCTGCGCCTCAGGCGCGGGTTTGCGCCCCACAGTCTGGAGTGTGAAGCCTGGCGCCAAGAAGCCGCGGTCGGGCTGCAGCTTCAGGTGCAGCCGCTGGCCAAACGCGTCTAGGCGGAGGCGCGTGGTCTCCCGTCCTTCGGCGCGCTCCAGGGCGGGCAGCACCAGCTCTTCATCTTCCTCGGCGGGGAGCCCATGCGCGCCGGGCACTATAAACAGCACTGCAGCCGCAGCGAGCAGCAGCAGCGTGGGTGCAGGCTGAAAGCTCCCAGAACGTGGCGCTCGCTCAGCGTTCCCCATATCGCCGACCAGCCTGTGGCTTCGGGACTCCACAGGGACTGCTCTTTGCATCAGAGCTCTGGGAGACGCGGCACTCTGAAGGAGGGGGAGCTGAGCTGGCTTTCTCCGGATTGTCAAAGTTTACTATTATTCTTTGAAAGTTAGCGGAGAACCGGCTACAGCCGAACCTCCCAGTCACCTAGAAGGCGCAGAGATTCTGGCGGCGCGCGGGAAGGTTTTCTTCCAGCGCAGAGTTGGAGGCACCGCACGGTGGGCGCTATGGAGTGGCCGCTRAGGGAAAAAGAAGCGCTCTAGGGCACCTCCCGGGCTGGGGGCAACTCGAGGATCGGTGCCTTGCGCTACCCTTCGTCCTCCGCCTAGTACTGCTCACTCTGAGCAGGACTCTTGCCCTCTCCGCCCGACTGTGCGCTCTAGCTTCGCAATAAGCGCTTGGCTCGTAGCGGCTTCCAGCGAGTGCAAGAACTGTGCAGCCCGGACCGCCCCTTTATAGCCCTGGAATGAGCCCCTCCTCCATCTTGGCCGCCTTTCCATCCCAAAGACACCGCCCCCTGAGCTCAGTCGGTGCTAAACCGCGCTCAGCGCCGCGGGCCCCCGGGGGGGAGGGGGCAGCCTCCGCGCTGGCTTCGTGCCAGGGCTCGTCAATCTAGGGGGCGGAAGACGCAGAACGGCACTGTGACCAGCACTTTGTACAGCCTGGGCCACTCAGGGGGGAAAAAATTCTCCCTTCCACCACGCCTCTTCCCCGCAGACTTCCTGGACCACCCTGCCTTCTCCTTTGTGGGGTACTCAGTATACCCTCTGGGCTGCAGCTCCCAGGAGGGAGGTTCGGGGTGGATAGTTGGGTCCCTTTACCAAAATTTCCCTTCTCTGGAGTGGGCCCTAAGTTTCCCTCCCTGCCTGCATAGCCCTTTCTTCCCCAGTCTGGAAGATGGGCCGCCCTTTCTAGAAAGAATAGCCTGCCCACCTCTCCGTCTTCTTGGGCTGCCAAGAGCTCCTTTGCTGCAAAGCTCTCTTTGCCCCAACTTTTCTTAGGGAAAGCTTGGTTTGGTGTTGGCTTTGCCTTCGCCCTGTACAAACGGTCTGGGGGCACATCCTAGACTCAGGATTGTAAAATGGGTCTGCATTGACCTTTACTCTCTTCCCTCTCCCCGGCCCCGCGCCACATAAGACTTTTTGTGGGGACCCGTGTCCCCATTTCCTTAATAGCTGATCTGGAACGGGGTTCATTTCCTAGAGCCCATGGAAGGAATTGGGTTTTCTCTTCTTCATTCGAGAAAGTAAGTCCCGCGGATCGCCCACCTAAGTGCAGCTGCTGCAGGCCGTAGGCGMGATGAGCAGAACAATTAAGGAACCCCACTTTGCTATTCAGGGGCAGCGGCGATCGCGGAGGATAGAAAATATGTCGTGGAGAAAAAGAGGAAATRGATTTCCTTCCCCACCCCGCCCTCCTCTTCCTAGTAGGAAGGGAAAAGCAGGCGTCCGTGTTACGAAAGCGACAAAGCTGAGCCTTTCCACCCCCAGGTCCCTAAGAAAAAGCTGAGCGGCTCTTCCATCGAAAAGGGAGGGGCTCAGTGCTTCAAAGGAAGGAACTGTTTCACAATGCGCTCACAGGCGGAAAGCCACTGGGACAATGGTGAGAACGCCAAAGCCCGGGGCAGACTCCCGTCCCTCACACTCGCTTTCTACCACTTGCTCGCCCTTCTCGGTCTCTCTTGGGTCTCGCCGCCCCACCCCCACCCAGTCCCTCCGTAGGCTCCCAGTTGCTCTCCGCTTTGCCTTGCTCCTCCCCAGATCTTTCCAACTCCAGTTGGCCTCAGTCCRAAGCACTCCCTGGAGTCCTCTCATGGGTCCCTCAAAGCTTTCTTTTAGGACTCTTACCAACACCTTTTCTCTAAGCCTTCTAGATTGCTTACTTGAACAACAAAAACAAAAACAAAAATTTTGCTTCAGGAACCATCAAATGAGAAAGAATGACAGACAGAAGCAAAACACTTTGCCCTTCATGGGTTCCATAACACCCCCTGGTCCTCAGGCCTTCCAGAATGGGTGGTCTTAACTGTAATTTTGGTTTCTTCAGCTCGAACTCATAGTTAAAAGTTGAATGATTAACTCGAAAACATATTTTAAGAGCACATTCTGGGTTACCAGTGTTGTTTGTTACTTCCTCTTCCACGTTTCCACCACCTATCATTTTGATGTTTTGTTTGAGCTACCTCCTTGAATCTTGCAGCAATCCGTCTTGTATCATATTGGATTTCTCACTCATGTATTTAATATTGACATCCACACTCATGTATCATGAGTGGCCATTTGGTTCTATATTGTCCAGTCAAACTCCTTCTCTTCATCTTTGAACTAAGAAGATTATTCCCCTATTCCTCACAAGAGGCCTTTCTCAAACATGGAACATCTCTGCTCCCTAGTTTGGCTTGCAGACATTCTTTTACATTTCCCTCTTTTGCATCCTATTTTTTATGATCTCGTTTTATTTCATTTGTTCCTTCTCTCTAACGACTAGAAAGTTTAGAGATTGGAGAGGACATTGGAAGAAAGTTATATTAGACTTATTTCTACAGAATTATGAAAACATGATGGTAAAGTCATCAACACAGTTTCAAATCTCTAGCTTGCAAGAGGGCTCAGAATGTGTATGGTAACCAGTACTTGGAGCTTCACACTGGCTTTGAGATAGAGATTTCAGATACTTGAGGTGGCCCTGGGGAACCAAAAGACTTTCCAGGTCTGGGACGGTAAGTGTGATTCCCTTGAATTGTGGCAGAAAGGGAAATTAAGAAGAAGCAGAAAATGTGTAACTTTAAATAAAAATTGTGTATTGTATTCTAGCCTGTCAACTGCCCTTACATATATGCTTCAGCTTTTAAAATACATTAATGCAAGTTTGGCCTTTGGTTCGTTTCTGTCTCCTGTGTGTTCTTATTGGAAATTTGTTTAATTCAAGGCATACATTTCTAATCTTGAATGGGTTATTTCAAATCCATTATAATTTTTTCATATTTCATGTTGTATATCCAAATAGAGCTGATAGAAAGAAARAAAAMACACACACAGTGAGTTCAAGGCTAAAGGATTGCCAGGAACATGGCTTTTTTATTCTTTGGGTTACTCTCCAGATTTCTGTTCTTTTGCATAATGACTCCAATCTGTTGTGCACCTGTAGTTCTGGGAAATGATTCTTTTTTAATCGCTTCAACAGAGACATGAATGTAGGAGTTGCCAGTTACTAAACTGAAAAACTCCATGCTCAGAAGAACATCTAATCCGCTTACTTTTTTTTAAAGACCAGCACTCTTCAAGTGTTTGTAGTATTGTGTAAATATATACACATGATATTATACTTACTTATAAGCAAAATGTGAATTTGTTCATGGGACTAATAAGAATGTTGCACAATTGTTAGTCCTTGTATAAGTTTCACTCTCCCATCTTTATATAGTTTTTTGCTCCTTGATTTGAACGTGCACCTAGAAGATCACATATTGTTACAATCCCTCTTCCCCATATTTTTGCTTTTATTTTTATAAAATACATATGGCCTTGAATCTTAATATGTTCTAATATGTTAAAGTTCTATTGACTTTAACCATTTTTTATTATTTGTCAGGATGACCTAATAACAGTTCAAACATTTAATGTAAAACTTCTCACAATGAGTGATTTGATCTTTTAAAACATTTTTGTCCTTACTGCACAAAGGCACTTTCTGAAAAAAAATAGAAAAGTATCATGACTTTTGAAGTGAAAGAAAATATTAATGTCTGTTTAATCCTTATATGTTTGTATTGTTTCAGTGATTCATTTATTACAGAAACAATGCTCCATAATTCTATAGCAAAGCAAGTATTCAACAAGCAGCCATCAGATGGGAAAATCTGGTAATGTATGTGGGCTACTAGAATAGTTTTAGTGTGAACATGTGTATAGAAACTACTAATGTGTATATTTTATAACCATGGAAGATTTTTTATTCACATTTTCATACCATAAGATTTACCAGTTAGAAGTAGGAAAGCTATTTGACATYAGGACTGCTTTAGGGAACATATGTTCATGAAGCATTAGTGGACAAATGGTTATTTGTTGAAAATTATTTGATTGCAATTGAGAAAGTAAACACAAAACATCTATTTTTAGCAGGTTACATTTTCAGAACTATGACAAATATTGAAGACAGAAAATTTGTTGTAAATTGCATTAGAACTAAAATATTTATATAAACCCCAAATCAYGCATTTGTAGAACTAAGAACAGCATGATCTGAATAAGCCATTCCTTTTGTTTAAAAGATGTGAAGTTGAGCCTCAAAAGGGTTAAGCAACTTGCCTAACATGATAAAGGCAGAGTAAAATTGGGAGCTTAGAAATAAATGGCCCTGATCCAAAATTTTAATGAAATACCCCTTGGCATTTTAATCTACGTAATAGTTTGTAAGCAAGTTTTTTCACACTTATGACTGATTTTGTTTCCAATTATTAAATTTCACTTTAATTATTAATATGAATTTTCTAGCAATAAAAAAATTCCACCTTAAGACTTACAGCCTTTAGTACCTCTTTCTCAGCCCACAAGGTGGCGATGATCTACAACAAATGATGTGCAACATGGTTTTCTTAATAGTTCAAGTCAGGAATTTCCAAAGGTTTTACACATCTTCAGTCTTATGTAAAAAATTCTATGAAATTTTCTCTTACCTTCTTGGGATTACATAAAATATTTTTAGAATAGTACAAGATAAAATGTGTGTATGTATATATATATGTATATATGTATATATAATTTTTTAAAAAATAATAAAAACACTTTAGTTAACTATGGAAGTAACCAACTACTTTTTAATTCTGTGGCTCTATGAGTTTAAACCAAAAATTAACTATACATAAAAAAGAAGACTACCTCTGACAAAAGTACACAAGWCTATTTTATCACATTTGAGAGCTCCATGCAGTTGAAATGAAAAAAAAAAATCATACATTGCAAAAAATCATACATTGCAATCCACTAAAACTGAGATTAAACTCATTCACTTATTCATTCAGAACATACTCATTTTGTGCACTGTTTAGTATGCATCAATTCTTGTCTATCAACTCTGAAGTTATCTGGTATTCCTGGTTTAAAGATTTTCCTTAGCAACAACAAAAACAAAGTGTAAATAAGAAAAGTGAGAAAATATTCTACCACCAGGTGGTGACAAAAGATAAAATTTAAAATAGTACTTGAAAAATGTGTACTTCATGCAACATTTGAAGATCCCAAATACACATGACTTCCAGATGTCATGTGAATTGAAAATCATATTGTCAAGATGTTTTAACACTTAGAGTGAATTAATATTAGCATAGTATTTTTACTTTAATACACAATCATTAGAAGCAACAATTTCAGCCAGCAGGAGGCATACAAGACCACAGAATAAGAAATTTCAAAATGTTCTACTGCTTTTTCCTCTACCCAGCTTACAATTTATTGATTAGTTGATGCAGGTAGGAGATGTTCTATTTTTAATTTTTAGAGCAACCCCCTCCCTTCCACCTGCCCTTAACACTATGTAGCTATTTAAGCAGAGTCTGGAAATCCATTGTCAAGATATTTGGGTAGTGTTTGCCAAAGATAAAAAAGCAATATTGGATTYTTTCTAAGCCTCTTTCCTACAAGAAGTATCTATAATTCTACAATGTTTCTTCTATCTTATGGATAATCCRTAGCTGAGTTATGAATTACTGCAGTTCATTGGCAATCCTCTAGGACATATAGAACTGGGAGTATCTCAGAATCACTGATAGTTGAGCACCCTTGAATTTTTATGTTATGCTTCTCAGTCTTTATCATCCATAGAAAATTATGTTTGCCAACCTGGTGTCAATGAATTAAGATGGTTGCAGCTGGAAATACTGTCCCAGAAATTTCCCTTGCTTTAGAGCTCTCAGGCTACCCTTCAAGCTAAGGACCCCAACAATGATTGCAATATCTGTCTGAGCTAGTATATTTATGTGAAATTGATTCAGAAGGTGGGATATCTCTCTTGCTGATTGGTTGTTGAGATCATCAGACTTGCAATCCATCTTTGAGCAGCACCATGTCTAAGTGTGGGAGGAATTCCTATCCCATGCACAAACACAGAGAGCTGGGGGTAGAGATTTAGGTAAATTCCCAGTTAAATTCTCACTTTCTGATTCTGTCAAGTCCTTGCTTTGTGGCTTCTGTGAGCATCCTTGGGCCTCAGACTCCTCATATGTGAAGTGGAGATATAATAATCCCTGGTCTGAAACGTTGTTGAAAGGATTAGAGATAACACTGGCATATAACAATGATCCATGGATGAATGGGGTTGATTAATATGATGGACTTTGAAATTAGGAAGAGATCTCAAGGGGATCATGGAGAATATAGTGAATGAATTCTGGCTAAGCATATAAAAAATATACTTAGGAAAAAACCTTCAGTGCTATGGAACAGTTAAATCAGAGACTGGCATGTAGTGGTTACTTTGCTTTTGTTTTTAATTGACCCAAATAGTAGTATAAATTTAAGAAATATAGCGTAATATTTAGATTCATGTACACATTGTATACTAAATGATTGAGAATTTAACATATTCTTCACCTTAAACATTTAGGATGAGGAGAGTGAAAATGGAAGATCTGTGAAAAGGTGCAAAATTACAGTTAGATCAGAGGAAAAAATTCTGTTGTTCTGTTTGCATAGTGGGGTGACTATTATTGATAATATCTTATTGATGATTTTAAAATGGCACACGTTTTTTAAATGAGTGAGGCAGGTTGGTCTTTCCATTCAGTAAGATTCAATAATTTGAGGTTGTTTATGGTAAATGAATAAAGGGGAGTCACTGATTATTGGGGATGTGGGGTAAAAAGCCAGATAAGAACTGAATGAAATGATTTTGAAAGTGCAGGGAAGTTAAAAGAAAAAGAGCTTTCCAAATTTATCAAGGAGATCTGCTCATGAATTGACGTAGAGTTGCTGGTTTTATAGCTATTTTGCCCTTTTACCATGCTACCTCGTTTTTAGGACCCYATCAGTCTGGAAACCCACTCAGACGTTCCTGTGGGTGAACTGTTGGGAGTGCCTGGGCTGGACACCTCCTGAGGCCTGCCCCACATTGTCTTGGCTCCCATTCACTATGCCATTGCATCCTGACCACTTTTGCAACTAGGACTTCACCTCAGTTGTCCCCTGTGCACTGAATGCTTTATTCCTAGGGATTCCTCTGGATGACAGCCTTATATTTGCAACTGGGGGCATTAACTCGTGGCAATCTTTGACTAACGTGTCAGTGGGAAATGGCTCCTCTTTCGTCTCTTAAGACAATAAGGAGGGCCATTATACATGTCCTTTCAGATTGTTCTGAAATAATGAAGCCCAAATTGTCCCAGCAGTGACTGGTTGGCTGTGCACCTTTGTATGGATTTCTTCTCTTTTCTTAAACTCTTCCCAGGCCCAGTTTCACAAACAAACTTACCTTTCCCTCAGCCTCTCCACCTCCACAAGGACAGCATGCACCCAAGCCTTTTTCTCAGGCTCTGCTAACTGGGGTAAATGGATTAAAAAACAATGAGTGTGAGAAAACTTTCTAGATCACTCTCTGATCATCCTGTGGGATAACCTTCAGGTCTGTGCAGCAGAATGGCACCTGAAGAGAGGAAAAGAGTGATCCAAAGTATGTAGTTGGATGGCTTTTGATAATTGCTTTGAAGTAGGGCTTGGCAAACTGTGGTAACAATCTGTTTTTATCAATTAGGTTTTACCGGAACAAAGTCTCAATCACTTGTTTATATATTATTAATGACTGCTTTTGCAATACAAGTCACAATTG